TGACTATAGTTAACAATATTATATTATATACTTGAAAGTTGCTAAACGATTAAATTTTCAATGTTCTCACCACACACCTAAAAGGGTAACTGTGTGAAGTGATAAATGTGTTAACTAAACTTATAGTGGTAATCATTTCACAATATATACATATATCACATCACCATGTTGTGCACCTTAACAATGTTATATATTACATCTCAAGAAAGCTTGACACAATTTTCTATTTAAAAAAATTTGAAACATTGATTTGATTAACATTAAGTGCTTCTGCTCATCAAAATACATCAATAGAGTGAAAAGCCAAATAAAGGTCCAGAATGTATGAAGATACTCCTTCGAGTCAATAATAAAAAGACAAACAATCCAATAAAAATGGGCAACAGACCTAAAAAGGCATTTTACAAGAGGGAATCCAAATAGCCAATAAGCACCAATAAGTGAAAAGGTACTCAACATAATTAGCCACCAGTGAAACGTAAAATTAAAAGTCGCTACAGAAACTCTTAAACATAATATTTATCTATCTATATGAATGATTAAATTGATGATTGTGTTGGTTCAATGTTTTATTACTTTACTACTTTCTTCCCTGCTTGATCCATTGATTACTGAGAGGAGTGTCTATTCTGATTCAGTTAAGATATCAGTCAGGGGAGAGGATATAGCTCAAGTGGTAGAGTGGCATGCTTAGCATGCACAAGGTCCTAGGTTCAATCACTAGTACCTCCTCTAAAAACTAACTAAATAAGTAAACCTAATTATCACCCCTCCCCAGCAAAAAAACAAACAAATAAAATGCTTAGGGGAAAAAAAAAGATATTAGTCAGACTTGGTCACTCCTTCGAACCTTCCAATGGTTTCCCATTTCCTTCAGATCAAAGCCTCCTGAGCCCTCTAGCCCTACCACTGACTCTGCTGCTTCCCCTCTTCTCTTCTCTCCTATTCTCTTTCTGTTGCTCCCTCTGTCTCAGCCACTAGCCATTTACTCTTCTTGAAATGCTCCTTCCCAGGATAACTGTAAGGCCTCCTCCCTTGCCTTCTTCAAGTCTTTGCTTAAATATCACCTTTACAAATAGGCCTGCGCTAACCACTCTACAGTACAACTGCACTTTTCCCCCATATATTTTTAAGGGTCACGTCTTATCTGTCTGTCTGACAACTTAATACACTCTAGCCATGATTTTACATGTCTGAGATTTAAACTGCAGCTTCTCTTGTAAAGGGCGGTAGAATTCATTCATAACTAAAAACTGAAAAGAAATACCATCCATATTATAAAAAGAAAATAGACCACCTTTTTAGATGGAAGTAGAAAATCACACAATGAAACTACTATAGCCACAGAGGTTAAGAGGGCAATGAAAAAGACCTGTGCTTGCAACACTGTCTTAAGAAATCATATGCTCAGAAAAAGGAAGAGCAGAGATTGAGAAACATGTCTCATCAGAGCAGGAGCAGCAAGCGAGTGAAAACAAAGGCAGAGAGGGGTTTTCTTAAGGAAAGGCTGGCCTCTGGAAGACAGGCCTGAAGAGAGACAAACGAACCCCGGAGGCTCATTCTCTCTCAACTTTCAGGAGGTGAGCAAAAGCCAGCTTTGCAGGCCTGAATTCAAAAGAAGAGCAGGTGTACCCCCTGGAAGCCCCAGAAAGCTCCAGCTGCTACAGGGTCACAAAGAAGGGTCCCTACCCTTCCTTCCCCAAGTATTTAGAGGATTACGGCACCACATCCCTCTCTGGAGGCCCCTCCTGTGAGGCGTCCAGAGCACCTGCTCCTGCCCTAGGGGACAGCAAGAACCTGGGACACGGGGAGTGCTGTGTATTTTCTGCTCATAAAACTTCCCCTAGTTGACTTGTTTTTACTTACACTACGTGGGCTTAGCAGGGTGTGTGCCTTTGCCCTCTTTGTACAATGATGGACAGTTATGAAGGGGAAAATGACATCGTAAAGGCCAAGATAGACAGCTATCAAAGAAAAAGGGCAAAGCATCTGAATCCAATTACTCTTAAAAGGGACTAGAGAAGGCCTTATCTTGTTATCAAGCAGAAAGAACACCTGGGATCCAAAGAAATCTGTAAGAAGGAGGAAGGTAAAGCCTGGAAGAGCCCGGAGCGGCTCCCCAGGGGGAAGATGGCTTCTGGAGCTGCAGAGAGAAGCCACAGTAAGAGCACGGTTACCTCTCAGAATTGGGCCAGCAATACTCAGTGGTACAGAAAACGGGAAGAAGAAGCATGGCATACTGGCTACGTCTCCAGGTGGCCTGGCTGTAAGTGGGAACAGAGTGAGGGGCCCTCAACTATCACCTAGAACAGGGTCTGACCCTGGGAGCACTCGTGCTTGTTGAGTGAACGTCCGTTAAAGGGATCCAGGCAGGACGACCGGATCATAAGCTCAACAGGCCACGTGTTGGGGGGGAGGACATCTGGCAGCTGTAGAGGTGGCACATGCAGGAATGGAGGAAAAGCCCCCTCAGGAGGTCTGAGGGCACTGCTCGCAAGCACGGAGCGGCTGCATCACTAAAGCCCATTGTCGATGGAGGCTTGAGGAGCCAGAAACACAGGCCCAAAGAAGAAACGGACACAGGAAGCATGAATGTGCTGCTTGAGAATGAAAGGCACCCCCCACCTATTCCAAGAAGGCCTGGTGATTGGGGCTGCCACTACTACAAATTTCTAAATTGTGCAAGGCAGCAGCATTGCCTCCAAACCACTATCCAGAGCTGAGGCTGGGCAGATGCCCTCCAGGTGTGATGAATACAGGTGTTGGTACCTTCTCAATAGTTTTCTCCCAAATGAGTTTGGATTCACAAGTTGGAGATACTGAAAACTGGCACAGGATTCTTAAGTTCCAGTGAAACTGAACCAAGATTTTCTCACTTGCCCACCTTCCCTCAGATACACTGTGTTTTCATTATGGTCTTTGCTTCTGGGACAGGTCCTTGCCTGAGACACTGTTAGGTGCCAGGGACTGGCTTCTTTTCTAAATGTTGTGGTTGTAGAGGCCAATGCTGTGGTAATTTTTGAGGTCCTGTTGACTACTTGGATTCTTACTTTTTGTTGCTGTTTTAAGTGAGGCTTATAAGAGACTGGCGTTGAATTTGGGGGCTGGGTGGCTCTGGGGCAGCAGGCCAGCCACATTCTGCAGCACCTTTATTGCTCTCCGCCTGCCTGCCAGTCCCTTCTCTGTTGGTTCTAAACTTGGGTGGGGACAAAGCGTGTTATTTACTGTATAATCTCCCCAGAGGAAAACACTCGACCTCACGTGTACTGTGTAGGCATGTTGTTGAGGATGGACAAAGCAACTATAAAATACTCAACTAGAGCTGCAGTGTGTGCACACAGGGTACGGCAGAGAGAGTGAAGGTGAGTTCATGAAGATGGCATAAAAACTAACAAAGCCCCTAGAGAATTTTCACAGCTACCTGAGTCTAAGGATATGTTAATAAAAGAAAAAAGTAGAAAACAAGGTGGAACTGGGGCACCTGGGAGATAAGACTAAACCAGGCATCAGGTCAGTATAACCCCATCCTGTAAAGGCAGAAATGGATGTGTGCCCCCAGTAGTCCAACACAGTGAGAAACAGGATCACAACTTGTGGAGACCAGCAGCCAGCACTGCAGAACCTCCCTTCAAGTCTCTAGGGGGGAGTTCCACACCTGTGCACATAGGCACTGATGTCAATTAAAAGAATGAGCCATGCTTTAAGCTAATTAGCCGTCATTTCTATCCAGTCTTCCCAGTTCAGTGAGTTCTGCCAACAAAGCATCTTCAGCACTTTCTTCAACCTGTTACTGCCTGTGCTGGTCATACTTCTCACTTGTTTCTCTGCATTCCCACTGTTCCCACTTTGCAATCTCTCAGCCCACACACCACACACCACACACCACACACCACACACAGGAATATCCCAGGTCTCACCTCCTCACCAGGACTGCTTCAGTAGTCTCTAAAGTGACCTGTCCCACACCTTCTGCCAGGACTCATAGAAAAAGCTCAATTTCCTCAGTCCTATCACTTGTCTCCCCCTACCCCCACCCCTGCCACTCACACACACAGAGCTGCTGTGTGATGCCCCCTTGTTTCCCCCATGCAGACCTGGGCTCCAGCCAAGACTACTCTTTCACCACTCCCATAGAAGCCATGCTCCTCTGTGCCTCTGTGCCTCTGGAGGATTTTTCTAATAATCCAGACCCACTCTGAGCCTGGCTTTTCTTCCTGATCTCCCAACATACTTGGACTTGCCCACAGCGCTGTCCCCCAGGCAGATGATTTTCACATTGTCATCAGCATCGTATTTCTCCTGGTCCAGCTCATAGGGTTTGGCTTTGTCCCCGGCCATTGGGTCCTGGCTGTAGAAAGGGGATCAGCTCACGGGAGGGGGGGTCTCGTCACTGTCTGGGAAGATCAAGAAGAGGCTGTTGTTAAAGAGATGAGAAGTCTCCTCAACTGAATCTACTTCCTTTTCCTGGACAGAGGAGACAATGAGCTCATGAGAGGGGCCCAAGGACACACTTATATCCTTCACTATTCACCACCAAGCTGGCTAGCACTTGCTGAACCATGGGGCTGTGATCTTGTCTCCACCAAGATCTTCATAGGATGCTTTACACCATGTCATCTCTTTACTGCAGCTATGCTCAGGACCACAACTCCCAGCCCCACCTGGAGACACAGTATTCTAAAGCCATGTTGAAGCTTTACAAGTTTTATACACATACGTTTTCTCATTTGTGAAACAGGGACAAAAACCAGTGCCCATCACATGACTGATGTGAGACATTGTCTGACAAACAGACAGGGCTCTGTAAGCCTGAATTCTCATTACTGAATGACAGATCACACAGCCAAAGATGCCTAACCTGTGTTCCTGATCTTCTACCTCATGCCTCTAATCTCCACTTCATTTTCCATCCTACTTCAATCAGTAGCTGCCTTTTTCTCTCTAAACCCAGGCATTCCCCAGACCCTCTTCTCTGGGGTTATTTCAACCTCTACTAGTGTCAATAATCTCCTAAATGCTGATGATGCCAAATCTGTATCTCCACCTAGATCGCCTTCCTCAGTGCCAGACTCAGGTATGCAACTGCCTAGCAGATTCTGACTAGCACACTATTCTACACAGGCCTAAATAACATGTGAAAACACAAAACTGAAGCCCTGCCCACCCCAAAGTCATTCCTCACATTCCTCGCCTGTACAAGACATCATTAGCCACCCAATGCCAACATCTAGGCGTAACATAATCTCTAGCTGTATTCCACTATCCTCAGGCACAAATGTAACTTTACAAACACTACTGAGAATGTGCCACAGTCCACACTCCAAGCTAACTAGGCACGGAACCGATGCAATGACAAGGCAGCAGCAGTACCGCACTTACTGAGCACCCACCACAGGCAGAGCTTGCACCTGGCTCATAGGATCCCAAACACGACGGCAGAGTCTACTGTGGCAAGAGCTATGACTGATGTGTCCACAAGGGTGGAAAATACCAACAGGACCCCCGAATTTCCCTGACTGCAATGCTATTGCCTCTGCTCAGGTAGGGACTCAGCCTCCTTTACCGAGATACCCTCAGCTTCAAAACCAGTGACTGCGGAGCAGTGACTGGGAAGTGGCAGATGCTTGGTTCGCATAGTGAGGGGCTGCCCCTTCCACCTCCACCCTGCGGCTGGAGCGATCGTTCGAAAGCCAAACGCAGCCAAATCCATTCTCGAAGACCTCCAATGGCTGTCGAGGTCCTCGCGACCCAGTGGGTAAGCTCTTTCCCACTTAAGTAGTTTGGGGCACCGAACAGGTCTGGGAACACCTCACCTCCGCAGCCAGCCTAGGCTGCCCTCGCCCCCGCACCGCCGCGCGAGCCTACCGTCCCGTTCTCCGCCCCCCGAGGCTTTGGAGGGCGGGTCCCACATGCGAGACTGACGTCTCCCACACGCCTTCTCGGGCGCTCCCGGGAAGGAGGCTGGAGACCACGGGAGCCGCAGGTCGGCCTGCCCACGGCCAGCCAACCCCGGATCCCGCGCCCCGCGAGGACCCCGCGAATGAAGCGGGGTACCGCCGCGCCTCACTCGGTTCCGGCTCTGCCAGCGTCCTCGCAGCTGCTACGCAACCGCGCAAGGACCCCGGAAGGGCTGCCCGGCCCAAGGCCTGAAGGACCCCGCCGGGCGCTGGCTGGCTAGTGCAGTGCCGGGCGAGAGTGGCGCCTGCGAGTGAGCATCGGGATCCGGCTGGCCTGGGGCTGCCAACAGCCGGGAGTCTGCGGTGGCCTTGGGCCCGGGGACTCAGCCGGGGTTCAAGCGGCCGTCGGCCCCGGGCGTGGCTGGGCAGCGGGGGTCTGGGGAAGCGGCCTGGGGCCTCCCATGCGCGGGTGCTGGGGGGCAGGCGTGGGGCTGAGCCTCAGGAGTGAGGAGTCCGCACGTGTCGGTGCCCACGTGCGGGGGCTTCTTGGGGGTGATGGAGGGGCGGGGCCTCGTGTGTGGGAGGCATATGACCCGGCGACTGCTAAAGTTTTGTAATTCTGCAGTGGGCGATTTGAACATTTTTTTTTTGAATAACTCGTTTGTTGTTATCCAAGGATGGAGCCAGCCGGGAGTGGGCCAGATTTGTCAGCGAACTTAGTCTCCCTTCCACGCAGGCCAGCAGGGGAACGCTGGCTCCGGGGCATTCAGTGACTTATTCAGGAAGGAATTGAGAGGGCAGCCGTGGGCTGTGGAGAGCAAAACAGAGCTGCCTTCTTGGAGCTGACCTTCCGGTGGGACAGACACGTGTAAATCAAATAGTTGTACCAACACAATTACAAGCATGTCCTCCGAAGAAAACGCGCAAGGAGCAGGGAAAGCGTGTGACGGGAAGAGGGCTGAGCTCCCGTGAGCGGCGCTAACCAAGGCAACGCCGCGGCACTCCCGCGCCCCGCTTCGCGAGGGCCTCCTAACGCTCCCGCGGCGCCCGGAACGCGCAGCGAGGGCCAGAGGACAGCCAGGCTCCACCCCGCCCAAACCCGCCCCAAAGACCCGGCCGCAGCGTCAGAACAGGACAGGAGGCCTCGGGCAGCACCTTCCTCCCCGACTCCCACGGGCTTCGTGGGAAGGGGCACAGGCGACAGCGGACGTGTCACTGCCCCGTAAGCTGACCCGGCAGGGCTCCCACCTCTGCGCGGGGACACCGGAGCCTGTGAGCGGACGCTTCTCCGGGGCAGCGCCGGGCCCTCTCGCCGGCCCCCCAGCCCCCGGGTCCCGGGGAGGAAGGAGGGGCCGGCGCCTGAGGGAAGAGGGCGCGGACCACGCTCGACCCCCACCCCACCTCGGGAACACGCCTGTCGCGTCTGCCCACGCGACTGTGAGTTCACACAGACACGCACTCACCGCGGACAGCGGAGTTCGGCAGAGTTTCCAGCAGCAGCTCCCGCAGCCTCTCCCGCCTCTCCCGCGGGAGCGGCTGGGGCTTCTCGGGGATCGGAGGCCACGCCCACTCCTGTGGGGCCGGGGGAGGGGAAGGGAGTGGGAGGAGCGCCTCCCAGAGCTGACCTGCCCCAACCCCAGAAATGGCTGCAACCCTCTAGCTCCAGAGGGGACCCCACTGTGGGGACAGCACTGCCCCGTTGGGGGCCACGCAGCCTCACAGCCAACAGTCTGAAGGGACCTGACCCTCACAGAGAACGTGAGAGTATCCAGACTGTGACCATGGCATCTAGTGGTCAGAGGTGAGGACACAGGTTGTCCTGGGTGTCACCACGGGGCCCAGGGGTCAGAGGATGAGGACATCCTGGATGTGACCACAGGGCCAAGGATCGGAGGACAGCGGTGTGAGGATGACCAGACTGCCTGACTGGGCTCTGGTCACTGTCCATCACTGCAGTCACTGGACCCCAGTGCCAGAGCATCATCCCTGAGATGTCCATGCCTGTGATTTCTGAGCATGTTGGTCAACAAACGACCAGGTCCTCCATTGAAGTGCTGGCCCTTCTACCCTGAGTGGCCCTTGCCAGGCGCCAACCAGAGTGTGTGGTCTCAGGGGCTACAAGTGGATCCCCAGGGCAAATCCACACCTGGACCCTGAGGTGACCACAGCCCAGGAGGGTGGGTTCCTCACATCTGTCATCCTCTCAGGGAGTGTCTTGCACATCTGCACCCCTCATGCTGGCTCGAGGCCAATGGAACAGAGTGGACAAACGCTGGGGTGGCTCAGAGGGCTGACTGGGGTGAATTCTCTCGGGGGCCTCTCTCTCACTCTTGACTGTACCCTTGTCCCTCAGTCACCGCTGCACATGGACTTTGGGCTGCTGTCCTCTTATGGGGATGTCCACTCAGCTGCCCAACAGCATCCATCTGACTCCTCTTTCCCTCCCTCCCTCCACCTCCTACCCTTCATATTTCCTGCCCCGCCCCTGCTCTCCCTCCCCTGGCCCCAAGCTCTCCTCTCTGCACCCTCCACAGCCCAGGGCCCCAGGTGGAGCCTGTAAAAGGGGGCCTTGACTTCCTCCTCCCCTGCTCCCCACACTGCCTGAAGGCTAAACCCTCACTCCTGGCCAATGCTCACCTTCCCCCAGGTGAGGTTTCCTCCTGTCCTTCACCCGCCTGCCTTCAGGGGGCAGAATCATGGCCCAAAGTTGTCAAATCCTGGAGCCTGGGACTTCATCAGGCTCCCTGAAAGAGGGGAATTAGGTTGCAGAGCAGCTGAGTGTGGAGCAGGGGAAGTTTCCTCATCACCCAGGTGGTGGTGCAATCACAGGGCTGTAAATGTGGATGAGGGGCAGGATGGGTGTCAGTGACTCTGTGGGAAGGACTCCCTCACCATTGCTGGGAGGAAGAGTCCCGAGCCAAGGATGCAGGGCTCCAGTAACTGGAAAGACAGGACAGGGACCCTCCCCTGGAGCCCCCGGAAGGAACCACCCTGCCCACACCTGCACCAGTCCAGAGAGACTACGTGGGACTTGTGACCTACCAGACTTTTGTGGAAGCTGTAACAGCAGCTGCGGGGGACTAATGCAGTGTCTCTTTCCTGCAGCTGCTTCCCCTGCCTGATTCTGCCCTCCACCTCCTTCCTCCAGTCCAGCTCAGAGGCTGCCTCCTCCATGCAGCCCGCCCAGCTGTACCGAGGCCAGAAGTTCTTTCTCTCCCTGTTCCCAGCATCCAGGCCCTTATCCTGCTGCCCCTCACACCCTCACACATGGGGATGAAAGCTACCTCTGTGTCATTCCTGCTATAAGGGCACAGGGACCAGGTCCCACATATGCTTGTGGCCCAGACAGTCGGAGCAATACCTCCTACAGAGCAGCTGATCTGTCTCAGAGATAAAGACCCCGACATCATCCAATGCAACAACCACATCAATTTCCTAAGCATGGAGAGTGGGAGGCTTTTCTAAAAAATCTTGGCATAGATTTTTTTATTGTTAAATATTGTTTTGTTTTCAAGGGAACAATTCAGTAGTGTTTATCATACTCACAGTGCCTGCAAGCACCACCTCTCTCTGGTTCCAGCACATCCTCATCCCCTAAAGGAGACCCCATCCCACTAACCACTCACTCCCCATATCCCCTCCCTTTCCCCTGAAAACACCAGATTACTTTTGTCCCCATAGATTTGCCTGCTGTGTACATTTCATGTAAATGGAACCAAGGAAATGTGACATTGGTGTCTGTCTTCTCTCCTGAGCATCATATCCTCAGGGTTCCTCCACGTTGCAGCAGGTGTCAGGGCTTTGTTCCTGCCGAGCCATTTTCCACTAGGGAATGAGAGTAACTGTCACTTCAAACAGAAGTGACAACCTGTACACCCCATTCTGACAGAGCAACCCCAGGGGAACAGTGGAACCTCATTACATTAGATGTTCTTTTGGGGATCTGGACAAACACACAACCTGCCCCCCTCCTAACAAACCATCACACTGAGCACAGGGGACCCAGGTAAAGGTAGGGGGTACACGTGAGGCAGAGGGCCCAGAGGTGGAGACTCAGGGAAACCTGCATCACTCCTCGCTGACCCACTGACCCTATCTGGGCCCCTACCCTACTGTGGACGTCCCCACATCTAAGCCCTGGCCCCCTCCATCTGAGCCCTGACCCCACAGTGGATGTCCCCGCATCTGAGCCCTGACCTCATGGTGGACATCCTTCCCATGTGGTTCCTGCAGCCCCGTGGCAGCCCCTAGCCTTATTCTCATCCTCCTTCTCTTGTCTCTGATCAGCCTGCCTGTGGGTCCCAGAAGTGTTGGTCCAAACTCTGGAATGGCTCACCTGGGTCAGCCCCATCCCTGCCTCTTGACTTTGGACATAACCTTTGTCCCTTCCGTCCTTGGTTCCTGCCAGGAATCGGGGGTGTCACAGTGACATTTATCTCATTACACCTTCATTGTAATACTAAAAATCGCTCCACTTACACCGTGACAATTCTGAGGTGGACCATAAAAGGCCAGAAAGTGGGCAGTGGCCCAATACCTGGGAAATCCCCACCCATCCCCCAAATAGCAAGACTATTCCTCCCACTTGTTAGCCTGGGAAATTACTTAACCCATTAAAAACTTATGAACCCCGTGCCCTGGGGCTGCTCTCACTTCCTGAGTAGTCCACTTTCTGCTTATGCCTGACTCTCTAAATAAGCTTGCTTTCCCTCTACTAAGGCTCGCTCTTGAATTCTTTCCTGTGCGAAGCCAAGAACCGTCACTAAGTGGTCTGTCCTGAGGACCCCTGCAGGTCCCAGGACATGACACTTTCCATGCCAGCAATGGTAGGGACTGGGGATGAGAGTGGTCACTCCAGCATCACTCAGCTCCTCCTCTCAGTGACCAGGAGAGGGAAGGCTAGAGGAGCCCAAGGCCCAACATAGGTGAAGCTCACCCCACCCCACCACAGGGACCCCTCCGGCCCCATCCTGCTTACTCAGGCCCACCGTCTGCACCCCCCCAGTATCCATGTCCCACTGACCCACATTCCTGGTGTGAATGTCCATGTACACAAGCTGCTTCCCACAGAGGATATCCACCTCCCTCCAGCTGTCATTCTCCCTGACAACAACCTGGACCCTGCACGTCCTGAGAAGGAGGAAACCGAGGAAGAGGCTGGTCTGTCCTGCCCACCTCCT